CACTTTGTATCCAGACACACATCCCATTTCAAACAGACTTCAGTGTAACTTACCAAGACTGAAGATAAAGTTTGAGAGTTGTGTAGTTTTTTGCAGGAAAAGGTCACATGAAGACACACATATTGCCATGTATCATGTTTGTTTCAAATATTAATTTCTAAATATGCACATACACATGGGCAGCATGGTGACAAAGCAGGTAGCGCTGTCACCTCACAGTTTGTATGTTCTCCCTGTGCCTGTGCGGGTTCTCTTCAGGTGCTCTGGCTTCCTCCCACAGTCCAAAGAAGTGCAGTTTAGGTTTACTGGCGACTCTAAATTCCTCGTAGAAGTGTGTGTGGTTGTCTATCTCTTAGTGTCAGCCCTTTGATAGATTGGTGACCTGTTCAGGGTGGACCCCGCCTCTCGCTCCAGGCCCACTGTGACCCTGTTCAGGATAAGCGGTTTAGATAATGGATGGATGGATAGCTGATTTATATATTGGGGAATTTAATAGTGATGGTGCACATTAATAAACATTGCTATAAATGTGTCAGAGTCAGTGAAAAGGCCATTTTTCAATAAAATTATCTGTGCTGTGTAGTGACATGCATTGGATATGTCAATGAGCTAATGAAGCAGTATATTTGGTGGGATAAACCTCTATGGTTAACCACCACTAAACCCTCCAGAAGCACTCACACATTCATTTTTTGCAGAGGTCTCATTTGACCTTTTCAAAAACCACCACATGGACCACAGTGCACTTTTTCTTGTCCACTGAACTTTGGAGAACCTTTTCAACAGTCCTAACCAGGATATAACACTTAAAAGGTCAGGCTGAGGTCGGTGGAATAAAAGCTGCTCCAGGATTTACCTTCCTCCTCTATCATCCAGTCGCCTTGTCAGCATGCTGAAAATGACATATTGTTTTTAAAGCCTGACTCAAGGATGAGGGCTGTTTTTTGTCAGAGGTGAATAGAGGATCCTCTTTGATCAGCAGAGAAGAAATGTCACATAAAATAAAAAAAGATGAGGCTGGAATACAGCACAGCCATTGAAGCTCAGATGAGGTGAGAATCATTTGCCAACCGGGGTCATCTGTTTGTCCCAGTTGTTGTTGTCTGTCTTACTTGGTCTGGAGTAAGAGTCAGAGATCTGCTGAAATTATTTAGCTAATGTTAATTTGGATTTTATTTCAAGGTCATTGCTAATGGCTTTGCAGCCATGTTAGCATTTTTTTCTTTATTGACATTCTTATAGTTCTTTTTGCCAAGTAAGAGATTTTGTAGTTATCAAAAATTCCTTATGTCTTGTCTCAGAATTGCAAGTCAGAGACTAACTTTTTTGTACTTGGTTGCTCTTAATTATCGTAACTGATATAAAGTGAACAAGGCATTAGTGCTAATTTGCAAATGTTAGCATGCTAGTATGCTAAAATAAGATGGCAAACATGAGCGTGCTAAATACAGCAAGCTGATGAAATCATTTAACTCCGCTCAGCCTCAGCCCAGAGCTGCTAGTTTGGTGGTAGGGTCTTGTTAAACAAAGTAAAGTAGACTACACCAGTGTTATGTAAAAGTACACAGCCTGTCTGTCTCTCTCTTCTTCAGCCACATCCTCCAAGCCCTGGCTTTAACCTCTGGAAGTCCTGTGTTACCTCCACCCTTCTGCACAATTACCCAACCAAGTGGAAGCTGCTCTGTCTGGCGCAGTGGAGTGTGAGACAAGAGTAGGATAGAGTAGGGTGGAGAGGAGAAATTTTGTCATTCCCTTTGACTGCAGAATCCCGAGTCTGTGGAGTCCTGGAGGGAGGAAAGACTGGGGACATGGATTTTAGGTAGGAGAAATCATAGGCATGCCTTCACAGAGAGCAGAGCAGCCATCACACACATAACCTGTAAGGTTTTAACACTGTCAGTCTGCACTTACATCAGACATACTGCTAACCCCCTGCGTGGAATCAGACACCATGCAGACAGATAATCCTTCCCATTTGATGGCACCCCCAACCCCCCTTACCCCTTATATGTTATACATATGTACAATAGGGTAGATCTGAGGTGATAGCATGGAACAGCTTTGGGGTTTCGGGAGAATAAAGGATTACTGACTGAGCAGGACACTGACCAGATGTGCCCACACACCACTGACACATTGTTGTATAATTCAACTGTAACAACACTTTACAGCAATCTTACCTTTGTCAATAGTAACATTTGATTTGTGTTGAGTGGAAGCTTTGGCATTGAGTGCTTTCACTTCACTCCATCAGTAATGGCCTCGCTAATGTCTCTCTCCGAGGCCTCTTCATTCATATGTATAGGTCCATCAGTCCGTCCACACAATAACTGGTTTCTATTCTGTGTCAGCATCACAAATCCCAGGTCTCTAAGTCTGTCTCTGCTCTTCATTTATAAGAAATGTTCCATATCTTCACCTCAGCTCTTTGCTTTCTCAGTCTGTCAAACATCTCTCACTCAGGCCCTTCTTTACCTCTCAGCATCAATGTCATGTGCTTGTCTCCGTGTTTGCTCAGATGTGAGGTTTGATTCAGGGAGTAAAATGAAACCCATGCAGCAGCTATTTGATATCTGAATGATACATTATAAACGACTTTAAAACAGCCTAAATTCAGCTCAGCATGTATGAGGCTTAAATTTAGCCGCACCTTGCTGAGAGTATGTTTGTATATGTAAGCTTGAGCATGTAAATGGGGCTGGCAGGACCAAACTCAAGAGGAAGGAGCTCCACTTAAATTAAATGGACAGGCCAGTAAAGAAGCAGAGCCATTTTTGGGAGCAAGGAGCCATCTCCTAGGCGAGTACCATGGCAACAGCCAACATCGGCCCTGGCTTTAAGAGCTGTCCTTTTCAATCGTCTGATCAAAAGTGGCAGACCAGGTTTTTTGCTGTGTGGCTTCTGTTGCTCTCTCGCTCTCTCGTCCATTCTTCTGCCTCTCCTTTTCTCATTTGACATAACATGGTCCTGGCCTTGTTCACCAAGGAGGCTGTGAGAAGACTGCAGAGGGCGAGTGTCTGTGGGAAAATGTTGCCAGACAACGCAGGGCTATGTGACAGTGAGGGCGAGCTAATAATGCCTGTGTGGGACAAATGGAACTAGTTTACATAACATGTCAAAACCTATGGTTTTTCATTTGCATCAAAATTATGAGAACTGGAAATGTGATGCTTTTTTCCTTTGCTCTAGAAGGTTTGCATAAATATAATGTGACTGGTACAAACAGAACTAGAAGAGACAGGAACAAACTGGAATGACCTGCCCACCTCACTCAGATCTTTTCATCACTTCAAGATTTTGTTGCTTGTAAACTTCAAAACATGCATGTTCCTATTTTTGACTATTTATGTTCCTATCTGTATTTTTAGCCATGCTGGTAGCATGCTTCTAGGAACAACTATATCAGTCGGTCTGTTGGTCAGTTGGTTTCCACTTTAGTCCAGACTCAAATATATCAACAACCATTGGCTCTTATATGGATTTCCATGAAATTTTTGTACCGTTGTTCATGGTTCCTGAAAAATGTTCCTAATGACTTTGATGAGCCCTTTACCTTTCCATTAAGTCCACCATAACATTGGTTTTTAGTAGGTTTTTGTTTGTTTGTTTGTAGTGAAATAGCTCATCCACTATTGGATTGTCATAAAATCTGGTGCAGTTAATGTAGCAGTTGTTCATTTGTTGTTTTTTTTACTTGTTAGTTATGTGCTGATGATGCTTGTGACAGAGATACAGTATTATGAGTGTAGTACAGGCCTTTTTGTTTTGGTGACCACCCTGTTCAGGATAGTTAGCACATTTCAAAAGGCTCAAATGTATAATTTTGAAATAAATCATGTCTCCTGAGCCCCATGACATCAACTTTTCTAATGGTATTTCCAAATGGTCCAGAAAACTGTTCTGCAGAATCTTCCAGAAATACTAAAGCATACTTTATCCTAAAACAATGACAGAACTTAAAACAGATGTGGTGTTAAGGTTTATTACATTCACACAACTGTGACTACCAGGAATGTTACAGGGCGTACATTATCCAGTACAGTAGTCGCTAATAGAACATCACTTAAAGGTTAGTATAACGTATGTGCACATCACAAGCGACATGCTGGACAATCTCATGCTGCTGTATTTGACCTTCTGGTTGGTAGAAGCATACATTTTGTTTCTTTGTTAATGTTAACAGAGCCATCTTGTGGATAAATGAGGAAGTCCAAAGAAAGAAAACGGGAACCCACCTACAGGAAACTGTGGTTGTTAAGATAGTTTTTCTACTGGGAGATTTAAGGACAGGAAGAGAAAGCTAATGAAATAACTGAGCTACAAGTGCACAATGAAAATGTTCATATGATTCCCTGCTCTTAGAATATACTGTATTTACCTGCATTAAATTTATAACCAATAACTTCCATGTTCTCCCTGTAAGCTCCATCTAACGGGAGCCCATGAGCGGCTGCAGCCAGCTGAGGTAGCGCGACACTTTCTGGAAGATGTAGCCTTTGCTGCACTCAGCCCCTGGTGGCTGGCTCACCACCCCAGTGAGGAAGAACACTTCCCTGTACAGGGTGAGCAGTGGGCTGCCAGAGCTCATGGTGCAGTCGGCATTGGCCCGCGGAGCAGTGCAGCCCATTTTATTGGTCATCATGTTGGGGTGCGCCTCCAGGCACTGAGGCAGCCGGTTGTACTCCAGGTGGTTAAGAGTGAGCTGGTCCTGGAAAGCAGATGCCTGTTTGTCGTCTTTCCAGCCGGTGACTACGGTGGGGAACTCTCCCGTCATCAGGATGCTGTCAGCAAAGTCTCTTTCTGGCAGACAGGCAGCAATCACCTCTTTCTTAAAGGTGATGCGGTCACGGAGCTCAATCACAGCCAGGTCGTTTTCAGGATGTCCCTCCACATAGCGCGGGTGGACGTGAACAACCTTTACATACAGTGTCTGCTCTCCACTTTCATAGTTGGTGCTGCGCTTGCCTGAGGAGGTGAAAGAAGAAGTTACATAGTGGCATATAGAGCTGCGATGACTAATCGATTTACTGATGCAGTTATTTCAATAATAGATTTAGTAATTCCTTAATCAAAAATGCAAAAGATTTCCTGGTTGCAGCTTCTCAGATGAGAAGATTTTAAGCTTTTCTGTGACTCATGTGATTGTAAACTGAATAGCTTTGGATTCTGGACTTTGGACAGGGAAGATGTCACCTTGGGTTCTCCGGGCTTTGCCATCCTGGAAGAGGCTGCTCGTTTTTTCAGAATTTTCCCTTTAATTTGTCACCTGTCTGTATGTACTTTGGGCTACTGTCCTTTATTAAGTGTTGTTCATGCTAGAAATTTGTTTGGTGATAATGGATCTAGATGTAGCATCTCCACAATTTTGGGAGCTTGCACAATTCAGTGTTTGCACCACCTGTTTTTTGTTTGTTTGTTTGTTTCTATGCTGCCTTTGTCCTGCCTCATACCCAACTGCACTTTATCCACCTTCCTTGCTTGGAACTTGAACATTTCTCATGTTTTATTAGCAGGTTAAGTAAAGTAATTTTTATTTTTGCTTTTCAAATGATTATTGTTGTTATTATTACTGTATTAGTTACAAGGTGTGATTTTGTGTTTTGTCTGCTCACCGACGGCCACCTGGAAGGAGCTGTATTTGTTGGCACACTGAGCTGAAGTCAACACCAGGTTCTCCTTTAGGATGACTCCACTACAGAAACCTGCTGACTCGGAACTCTTCAGCAGAGCCTGCAAGCATCACGATTGGCGAGAGTTCCAATAAAAAATAGTTTATTGTGCAATTTTATCACAAATACTTTAAGAGGTATTAAGGGTGTGTGTTCCTACCTGCCAGGGACACTCGGAAGAAGTACAAGTAAGACCCTCAAAGTTGGTGCGGGCGTTGCCGGCCTGTCTATTATTCCACCGACTCAGACTGCTGACTTTACCACAGGGGAAGATGACTGATAGAAGAATGTGAGACAGTTAAGATTAATTTTCTGTTGCTAGATTATTTCTCCCTCTGTCTTAATACTGGGAAAAGACATACCTGCGGGCTCACACTTATTCTTGTCGGTGAGCTTCCATCCGCGTGCGCAGGAACACTCGTAGGATATGTAGCCCGGCTTACAGAACTGGGAGCAGCCCTTGTCCTTTTCCAAGGGGCACAAAGTCTGGTCTACATCGTGGAAACAAAGAGGGGAAGGTTGCAGCACTCACACGCCAGATGTAGCAAATTAACAATGCTGATCAAACACAACTTGCTGACATCTCCTGCTCACCCGTTTCACAGTGGACCCCTGTGAAACCCGACTTGCAGACGCAGTCGTAGCCTCCCACGCTGTCCGAACACAGGGCTCCATTCTTGCAGGGTTTCTCTGCACACTGGTCTCCATCTGAATGCAGACAGCAAGTCTATGAGAAGATGTTCTACTAATGACTGTGCAGTGACGGAAAACCATTTTTACACAGTGCTTACCTACATAGACAGACCAGAAGATATCCTGCAAGAGAAAATAGGCAGAAAAATAAGTGGAGTGCACAGCTGAAGCTGAACAGTGGCTTTCTCTGTAATTTATACAGTGCATTCACAAACTAGAGGACAACACAAGAAGGTTTGAGGTTTTAAAGAAGCAAATCAGGACTTCATAGTAAAATGCTGAAGCTCACCGTGCGGTAAGAGTCCTGGAAGAATTTTCTGGCCTCCTCATAGGTGCACACCTTCTCCATGCAAGCCTGCTCCAGGCTGGAAGACTGAGCAGTGTCGACGCTCCTCGTCTGCCGGGTGATCACTGAGCTCGCCTGCTGTTTGTCCAAAAACACTAGCGGAACAGCAAAACTCTCAGCTGGTTCATGCACAACAGCCTGAACCCGCCTCCACAGATTCAAGCTAACTTCAGGTGCAGTAATGCTAAAGGTTTTGAGCATTTTTACCGATTTGTTTGCTTGATATAGTTTAATTAGTAATTAAAATTCAGCTTTGCAAATGTGAGTATTTGCTGGTTTTGGGCTGGTTGATCAAAACAATATCTGAAAACTTAGGCTTTAAAAAATTCTGATCTGACATCTTTTGTGACATTTAGCTCACATTATATTCCTCTCTTTACATTTCTTACTACGCCATTGTTTTTGAGTCTCATCTGGTCCCCTCACCTGTCTGGGGGCTCTGAATTGCTGCCACAGCCGCCGCCATCAGACACAGCAGAGCAACAGATGGGGTTGAGGAGCTCATGGTGACAAGTGTGACCCGGATCTCAGTCAAGACGATGGTGCAGCGGGGATCGATGTGTATGTACTCTCAGAAACAAGACAAGCAGATTATAGAGATGCTCTAAAAAGAAAATGAGATGTAGAAGAATATGAGGTGGAGAAAGAGGCTGATGCTGCCTGGATAGACTTCTTTCAGTAAGTTTCAGTCAAATATTTGATAATGGCATGCCTGTGTGTTTCTATTCCTTAAATATACACTAAAAATGTTGGTGAAAGATTACTTAGTACATGGGGTTTTGCACTTTCTAGTACAGTAAATTATCAGGTTTGCAGTTATAAGTGGTAGTACGATATTAATAGGATTTTGGGTTTGTCAGTTTCAGAGGAGTCATCAGTCATCTGCACTTATAATAATAGGTTAATAATAATAGGTTCAACAATCCAAGCTTGTGGACGGGGATTTTGGTCCCGATGTCCTGCAGCCCTTTTCCAGTAAACATCATGTCAGACAGTCCATTGGAGGGTTCTCCCTAATGAATTAGCTAAAACAATAAGCATAGGTCTTATAAACGATCTGCAAAGCATGAATAAATTATATTAACAACAATAAATATAAAAAAAATAACAGCTTATAAAACCTTTATAAATTGTGCCTTATCAGGAAGTGGCACCCAAATGGGACAAAATCTCAATTAACATGTATGTTTTTGTGTGTTTGTTTCTTATAAATACTACATAAGGATCGATCTCACTGTTTTATGATCAGTTATGGTGCCGTTTTCCTGCAGCATCACTGGGCCTCACACGCCCTGTTTGTTTACTGAAACACTATCTGGCTCTTAAATAATCTACTTAACCTGTCAACATTGACAGGCAGCCCATCAGAGTGCGGTACAGAGGCAGGGATTATTATCTTTATAGCCTTAAACACACAAATAGCATTAGCTCCTCTGGTGTTACAAAACAAAGATGGAGCCAGATCAGATAAAGCATCTTCTGTTCTGTAGGAACAGGATGAGACTGTTACATGTCCTAAACATCACATTATTCACATTCGTTCGTAGTTTTCAGGGTGCGTCATCTCGGCGGATCAACACGGGGCCGAGTAACTGTAGCAAACAAAAACAACAACAACAACAACAACAACAACATCAACAACAGCAGCACATGGAGCAGTGATGTTTGGCACCTACCGTTACGAACCGAATCGAGGTTCGGACTTGTCCTTAAACACACAGCAGCCTCCTGCACGAATCGGGCCTCTTGATCCAAAATAACGGATGATGACAACATCCAAGCCTGCCCACTTTCTCATTGGGCCGTTTAGTGCGTGTTCTGGTTGTAATGACAAAGACGAGCCACCAGAGGGCGCTGTCAGACAGACCTGATTGTCACCGTGCGGTGTGTTGACCTGTACGACCAGACACACCGGTCCCACACTTTGTTATAGACAAAAGATGAATTCATTCACAACCAAGGGAGACCAATAAAACCCACGCCAGGTTAAAAAAACAAAACAAAACAACAACATAAAGAGAGAATAAGGCTGGTTTCTCACAGATGTTCCTCTTCATCATCATTGAAGTCAGTCCTGGTAATGGAGACATCCAGGGGGTGTAGCTGATGAATAATTGTGTTCTCCTGCTGTCGGATGGGCCTGATGTGGTTTAGGAGGGATTTCCTTCTTTGGGGGCTGAGGAGGTCTTTAACAGTGATGTTCAGTTTTTGTCAGATAAGATAAAATAGCATTATACTCATCCCAAAGAAAATGTCTGTGCCCAGGTATTTTCATTTTACCATCATGATATTTGTACTGTTTTTATTCTAATGTCAGTGCTTCTCAGACTTTAGGTCGGCACTGCCAGTGGGGTCCCAGGATAGATCTTAAAGATATAAAATATATTTCTGTTACACAAAACTGTATATTTTAGTGACTGTTCTTTGATTTTTGCTTTTTATTGTACAGTACGAGACACTTTCACCTCTAAAAATCCTTGTGTGTAAAAAAAAAAATCCAAAGGACAAATCAGTGTGGTTGAACTGTTGACAGTCTGTGATTGTGAGGCAAGAAAAGTTGGAAACCGCTGCATTATTGTTTTGAAATGTGTATGTGTGTTTAGCATGGGTTTGTTTTTGTGCAGGAATATATTCATTAGTGGCTGAAAGACGTACCAACATAAACACACCTCCATGTAAAAAAAATCTAGGACCATCACTTCTAGTTTCTTCATCTGTGTGATGAGGGTTACGAGCTCCTCTGATGTGCACACTTGATCCACCAAAATGTTAAGCTATCCGCCGTGATCACTCAGTGAAGCCGAACTTCATACAAACACACATCGGCCTAAACAACAGCAAACAGCCATCGAGCTACACAAATCAGCTAAAACAGAGACTGATAATCAAAGTGGACAGGATGATTAGTCAGAAAGTGTTGAGGAACAGAGAGCGGAGACGCCGTGAAGTTTTTGGAAAAGTCAACAATGAAGAACAGTCTTATAATGAAGCAAAAATAAAAGCCAGAGGACTTGAAAAACATTTAGTTAACTCAGGAGCTGCTGTAGAGTTGTCTTATATTCATGTCACATTGTAATTAGTGATACTTGGCAGTGTTGATGAACATACACACAGTGATAATAGCTGCTGAAACTAGGTCACCGGGGCTACACTTGTCAATATCCAAGTCTCTCCTCGGTGACCTTATTTCAATGGGATTGTTTGTGAGAGCAATGTAATTTGCAAACAGGGCCGTGGGGCTTTAGTCTCAGCTGCAGCCGTGTTAAATGTCTCCATTTCCCAAGTCTAATAACATCGGTTTTATAAGAGCCTGGTCAGACCAGCTGGTCCCTGGTGCTGGACAGGGGCAGGAGCTGGACTGCCCAGTCCAGGGAGACTCACCCAGGGGTAGGCAGAGTTGTGGGAGCGCGTGCCCTGGCCTGCAGAGCTACAGCTAGATGTGTAAATGAATAGGATTGTAGCAATTTCCCTCGTGACTGTGTGGTCTGAGGTGAAATCCAGAGTTGGTATTGAGTGCATGCATGTGCTCATACATTGCACGTGCATGCTGACTGTGCATGTGTGTGTGGGCATGCAGGTGTGCTCAGTCCTGCATATGTTGGCTTGCAAACAGCACTAGTGGAAAGCTCCTCCATCCATCCATCTATCATGTCTTTCTCTGTTATGTTTTATTCAACATCGTGCTCTTGTACTGTCTCCCACCCGCTCTCCCTCCTTCATGCTTCCTTTTCTTGCAGCTCCTCTCATCATTCTTTCATTGCCAGGTCTATATTAAGGGGGACTAGGGAAGAAAGAGCCATGCAGTGCTCATGTGTTTCCTCGCTGATCCATTCCTCTTCAAATCCAGGGTGCCATTTTACAGGCACATTAAACAAACCACTCAGCCGTCACAGAAAGCATCCATAATTAAAGCCATCTGATACAATGTTTTGATGGATTTAACAGACTGGAGATGAAATCCCCACGACTCCCTGCATGTTGAAGTCTTAATTGTTCTCCCTGACCTCTTTCACGTTTCATGACTTATTTCTATGCTGGTAAGCATTAATGTCTGTTGTCCATCACGTTAATCCAGACTGAAATGGCTCAAGAATTATGGGATAGACTGCTATGAGATTTTGTGCAGACAATTCTGGATGAATAGATGTATCTGACCATTTTTGGCCCTTAGTCTTATTCCATTATATATATACATTGTCATTCTTATTGTAAAGATACTGAGTAATTCTCATATGCAAGGATCACAAGCCATAAAATGTGAGAGTAACAAACGAGCCATATCAACATGGCACACATGCAAATCAACAAACATTTCTGTGGTGTTGAAACAATAACACGTGTTTGGTTCTGCACGTTTGTGCTTGTCTGTCTGTGATTGCACAGTTCAGTGAGGACCTGACAGTGTGGGGTCCCCAGACAATGTGTGTAATGATGATGTAATGAGGTAATAACACACACACACAGGCACTGATGACCCGCACAGACTTTTCCTAGCACTGACCTCATGCGCATGTATCATTTCAGGAAATCATGAGGTCATGTGGAGATCTGACAACACAACATAACCAACGACACCTAACAACTATCACCTGCCCTGGTTTGGTTTTGAAGGGTAACATCATATTAGTTACTAGTCAAAAATACCCTCACACATGTACAGTATCTGTTGTCCTATATTAAATGTAGCTGCACCCGACAACCCACACACAACACAGTCACACCTATATCAAAGTGCCATAAGATGGTGTGTAATTGAGTTTGTGCGACAAGGACCAATGATGATCTTGCATTAAGTACTGGAGAGCAGGCAGGCACGACCCCTCCAGGGGTCTTTCACAGCTACACTAGCTACACTTGAAGAATCACCCTCCTCTGTCCCATATTGCTCTGTGATCAATTCACGTCAGATGGCCATATTTTATTTAACATTTAATCGCGGTGCTGCTCTCCCTGCGTCCCCCGCAGCTCATTTCTTCTCATGTATAAGAAACAAATGAATAGCCCTACACTCTTCTCTCAAACCCCCACTCCTTCTCACCTTTCCTTCTCATTTCTGCATCTGATTGAAGCAGCATTCAGCAGAAACAATTCAGCCGTTACTAGATGTCTTCAAATTGATTCCTAGGAGAAGCTCAAGATGCCACAACTGAAGCTCCCTCCAGGTTTTAAGATTGTCCCTCTTTTGTGATGTTGCTTTCCACAGATTCAGTGGCTCGTGCATTATTTTCTTCCACAAAAGCACCTTTCCCCCCCCTTTCTATGTATAAAACTCTTTCGTCTTGTCAGTCCTCAGGTCCTTGTCAAAGCCAGTTGTGCTGCTTTTTAAATGATATTCGGTATCTCCCTCAGACAGCAGAGCAGAGCAGTGTGGTTGTGCTTGCTCAGACCTGTGGAGAGGTAGCGTAGCCCCTAAATGTGCTGAAGAGGCACAGAGAGACACAGCTGACAGCTCTTTAAATGGGCATGATGTTTCACTGTGCTTGTGCCAAAGCTGCTCTGATGTTTGTGCACATGTAGCAATTGCTAGAGAAGTCTGTAAGTCACTGGTAGTAAGAATAATGAGCACTATCCAGTCGCAGTTCTGACTACATACAGTATAAACACACCATTCTTAAAGTTTTGAAGATTTTTCTCGATTAATATCTATAATTGTTGAGGAAAAGGGGCTGAATCTGGGTTTGAAAAAGGTCGAGGATGAAGGTCACGTTAAAGAGCTGCCTGCTTTGAGTCTCCGCTTTAAGGCAGTGTCTGAGTAAGATAAATGTGGACACAGCGGTTCCACAAAAAATGTTCAGTTTTTGTTGAAACGCTATTTAAAAGGTCTTTATGGCAGTTTTGTTGGTTGCCATTTGTGCTACTGTTGGATTTTATCAGTGTTTCTATTATTTTGTCTACTCCATTTATATTAATGGGGTCAGGCTAAATAACAGAAACACCTCTCTGTGTTAACGGCAAAAGTACCAATATGACTTGACATCCAAATGCTCCATTACCCAGGTAAGATTACGCAAGTACAAATAAAATGTCCCCATTAATTATCATTACAAGTTATTGCTATTTAATTATTGTGTAATGTAGGAGCAGACTCTTAATGTTGCTGGTGAGGAAGAAGCAAATTTTAACTACTTTATATACTTATATTCTTTATTTAGCATTTCAACAAGTGTTTGTTCACTAGAGAGAAAAATAGTTTGTTCCTCACTGGGTTTTTTGACAGTTGGACAGACTAAACAAACTATTTGAAGGGATTATTTCAGGCTCTAGTGGGTTGAAATTAGCTTTTTATTATTATTATTATCTTTTTAACAAGAGCAAATTAATAAACAGGTCCCAAAACTCCTCTCCAATATCATATGTGTATTCCCCAAACATTTTCAGCTACATTGCATTCATTAGGGTGGTGAAAACAATGTACTGTAGATGAAAATGTCTGGGGAATAAACATATTGAAGAAAAGTTTAATTAGGTTTTTATGGACTTTCATAAATTGCTCTTGTGCTCACGAGGGTTTGCAGCCTCTCGTCTGTAGAATCAGAAATGACAAGTTGTAGACGGAACTAAAAGCTGAACTGACAAATCTATACAGAAAATAACTGTCAAATCAAGCAACAAAACAGAGTGTGTCTCCAAACAAAGGTGTGTATTTCAGTCGTCCTTGTGCTCATTAGCACATTTTATCTGGAGATTTCACTGCATTTCAAATCAACACCCCCACACGCAGACACACCTACACGTGTCCAATCACATGCATTTATACTGTATACTGTATGCTCGTGCACTGATTTGTGGCTAAATGGTCAAAAGCAATTGCTAAGTTACTGAATAAAGATAGTGGGCAGGACACAACACGACAAGGTCAAACACACTGTCCTTTTCCACAGTCGACTTAACCCTCCATTTATGTTTTGTCATCTGTCGCATCTGTATCATCAGTTTTGTTGTCATTGTGTGTTCACTGCCTTTAATGGGAGCATGCTACCCCTCTTCCTCTCTCAGAGGATCCCTCCACCTTCCCCCAGTTTCCCGCCTGTCGTCTCCACTCTCAGGCTCCGTCGCTCTCTCTCACTTTCTGCTCTCAGTAGTGCCCTTGCTCTCGGTGTACCCTCCTCTCTCCTTCCTTCTTTCCTCCGGCTTTCCTGCTCTTCCTCTCACTGCACTCTCGACTCGCTCTCATTCCCCTCTCACTCACACACTCGGGCAGCTTCCTCCCCTCTTCACTTATACCCTCACACTCACTTCTTCCCGCCTCCCTCTCCGCTCCTTTCGCCTCCTTCCTCTCCATCACTTACTAACACATATCATCTCTCGCATCTCCCTGTCTCTTGTTTCCCTCTCCCTCCACACTCCATCTCTTCCATTCTTCCTGCCTTCTCACACACTCAACCTTACTGTCTTGCACAGATGCACGCATACACACACTCATGCTGATTGGCAGCCAAGGACAGCGCACCCTCTCTCCCAAACCGGCTACCAGGCAGTTTTCTCGTGTGGTCAGGCTTCTTGACACTGAGCTCAGCTGAGGAAGAGGACAAGGAAAGGGCCATGGAGCACAGCCACATCTTCACTGTATTTTCCCCGAATGGCAGCACCTGGAGCCCGGGGCAGCAACCCTCGGAGGTTGCTCAGGGATGCCCTCTTGGACCACTGCCTGTCATTTACTACAGCATCCTGATATGTCTCGGTCTTCCAGGTAAGAGATGTGCTTTGTGTGTCTGTGCATTTCAGAGCATGTACATTTCATTCTGTGTGCCTTAGTGCCTTCATCTGTGGGTTGCAGGGGTTATGCTTTGCTTCTTGATTTGCTGTGCACATGGCTGCAGGTTTGAGTGAGTGTGTGTTATGCACAGCTGCTCCTGAGTGCCACTCTTTGCACACACACTGTTGATTTGTCATTCTGACCTTGTGGTAATCGCTTGTGCATGTATACGTTCTTTGTATATATATTTATCTGTGACTGTTCCTGTCTGTTCAGTATTTGTTTGTGCATTTGTAGTTGGAAATATTCAAGCACCATATAGAGGACAACACATCATTAAATGTGATTATAAATCCAGAATATTTTTACAAAAAATGCACACAGTAGGAATGTGTGCGTTATATGGCTTCTCTTAATGACCTGGATTAATGACGCTTCCTTGTCGTGTCTGTGCCCCTGACTGATTCGTCCATCTACCGTCACCGTCAGGCCCATTTACTGCCTCTGTCCCACTGCGTGATCTGTGAGCTCTGACCTGCTCTCCTGCAGGGAAGCAGAGTGGTGTGTGCATGCACCATGCCTGTTTTTGTGTGTGTGTGAGAGAGAGAGAGGCGGACAGACAGAAAACCTAGAGGTCATATGAAGGAGGAAAAGTGCTGATATCTAATCAGATGGTGAAAAACCTCTCGACTGTCAGATACATCCAGTCTGCTGTGGCCCATCACCAAATCGCTGGACTCATTCTGCGGAAAAACAGCATTAATTGATTTGAAGGTAATGATGAATTTTAAGTTTGACAAGTAATTAACTCAGACTATTTGCCTTTGATGTGACTTTTATTGTCTTACTTGTCCAAAGATTAACATATCTTCTTATATCTGAATCCCTTTTCTTTAATAAAGACTGGGAAATAGATGTTATTAGCATTCTGGTTCACAACAAATCTGCAATGCAAAGTGGAAAGCTTTTGTATGCCAAGACTGCAGTTGCTCTACTCATTTGTCTTGTAAAATTATCTCTTTCTGAACAAATTTCCCAAATTTATTTCTCCTAGATGGCAAATCAAGTAATTCCCTTTGCTGCCTTTAAATTCTATCCTCTATTTTATTTGAGTGCGCTCCTGAATCGTCTTTATAAATGTAACTGCGGGTGTTTGTTTAATCACTGAGTAAAGATAACCTGTGAGTGTAATGCAATCTCACAATGGTTGTTTGAATTAATAGCAGGGTTGAGTGCAGCTAGATGATACAGCAGCAGCGAGTTCGACTAATTCAATCTTTATGACATAGCTCATTCCACTCAAGCTGAATCATGAATGTTTCATGAGCATGGCATGTGTGAGTAGCGGCAGCGGGACCTACAGATCTACACATTTAAAGATCTAGATGGATTGGAGGCTGTTATGGAGATGACCAGCCAGCCTTTCATTAGTACACAGCAATAGGGCATTACGTCTGTGTGTTTCTCACAAAGTTTGACCTTTGCGCTGCAGGCAGAAAGGGGTCACATCAAGAGTGCAGATTTAGGTGAGAAGTGAGTGGTGAAAAAAGATTCTAGTGTGACCTCGGGAAATGATGAACCAAAAGCTCTGCACAAAAATGGGCTCTAGAAGGAAGACAAGGACACTCGGATAAAGAAGAGTGGAGTTAAGAGAGGGAAATCAGAGCATTAACAGAGAGAGATTAATAACAGCGGGGGAGCTGCAGATGAAAGAGCTGAGAGGAATAGTCACATTTTTAATTAATCGCTAATTCGCTCTCTCTTTCTCTCTCCACTCACTACACCACACCGCTTGAGACAGGACAGACGTGTGCCTGGCATAGCAAAACACCACAACGAATGAGTCTTGCCTGAATTTCTGACATGCAGGGATTGCAGAAGTGGCGTTTGCTCCCTGCACAGTGTCTCCAAGTAGCACTGGTGAGACACAAACTGTGTAGTGTGTTGACCTGGGGAGCCATCAGTTGATCGGATGTTCAAGTGTACAGCTGTTCTACATTTTTCTACACACTGATGGCGTTTAGAGACTTTAAAAAAAAAAACCTGCATACATTTTAAATCTCACCTGCTCAGGTGTGATTTGTCAACAAAAGCCAGCTCTGCTGACGCCTGAATAGCACCTAAAGATGTCTGCATTTGCAAATGCTTTGATGTTAATTAAATGTGTGTACTCCAAGATAGTGCAGCAGGGCAGAAAACCACTAAGAGGATTAAATTAAATTCCAATAATAATTATCAATATCTATTTAGCCATCAGGCTCCCATAAAAGGTATCTAAAATATTGCATTGTCTCGGTTATCATCACAACGAGGTGTCTTCAATTTAATATGTCTTTGTTTTTTAAACACATTATTACATTTATAGCCTATTTGTTATGAAATATGCACCATCTTCACGTTACTGAAAGACTTCATTAATATGTGTATGCAGTGGTTTTGTTTTTAATGCTGTGCCAAACACGTAAATATTTGCATTTAAGCATTAAAACAGAGTTGAGGGATTGTCACAGTGTAAGAGTACTACATGGTCATTTAGTGGGTTCTGAACAAACAATCTCCTCAAACGTGTCATCCCGTCAACGACCAAACTTCCTGTTTTTCCTTTAACACCCTCACTTCTGGGACAAATGACCTACATTTGGAGGAATGTGCATGTTAGACTGAGTTATATACCTAAAGAGAAATGCTGACGTGTCTATGCCACAAAGCTGGAGCTGTAAACCCTGTCTTCAGTAAAAACAGTGTCCTTTGTAGGAGCTAAGGCAACTTGTATGTATATGTGGTGGAGCGCCCGATATCAACGGAGGAGCCTCGGCTTTCAGAATGCTCAGTAGCCACACTCCGATGAGTCAAAGCACGGACAGGTGAGTCAAAGATACTGCAGCAACGCAGGTGAACTGGGTTAGCAGGGATGCAAACCCACCATCTTATGTCCAGGTCATCCATGTGAATCTAAATTAAATTAAATTGCAACTTTCTCAAGACTCACGACTAACTTTACAGACTTGAACCTGTGAGTCTATAAATACTTAACATTAATGCAATAACTTCAATAATTTGATGTCTGGCCAACACGAAACCTGCTGCTGTTTGTGTATTTGTGAAGAAGCTATTGTATGTCTGACTCTAATCTTAGTGTTTATTTAACGCTTTGTTTATCTTCTGTTCACCCTGTGAATTTGGTTTTCCATTTTAAGCACCTAGATTGTTTATAAATGAAGTTGGTTTAGCTTAAGGCTTAAAATCTCTTAGAGATGGGTAAGTGATTTGGCGAGTATTCTGGTAATCGGGGTTTATCATTGAACTTTAACTTTAACGTTAGACAAATCTTTGTTCATGGAGATGCTTCAACTTAAAAGTAACTTAACTAATAATTTACTACATGAAAAGTAATACTTAACTATTTTAAATGAACAGCAGTAGTATTATGTTGCAATGGGCTCCTGGGCACAGATATCTGGGAGCAAGACTCCGAAAAAGCAACCACATAATTTGTAGTCAGTTTGTATTCCTTTGTAGATGTTTTGCATCTGTTTTCACCTATTTTGTGTTAGATTTACTCATTTCACAACTGTTTGTAGTCATTTAGCACTTTTAAAAAACTTGTTTTCTGTTTATTTTTTAGTTGTTTTGTGTTTCTTTGTTCTTTTGTGTCTCTTTTTGTTGTTTGGCATAATTTTGTAGTCGTTTTGCTGTCTGTGATCTGTTCTTAGTAACAGTCTTTTTAAAAATCTTTATTTAGTAGTTTTACATCTTTTTGTTGTCATTTTGTGGCTTTTTGTAGTCATTTGTTTGAATTTCCAATGGAAAGGTCAACTGCCCCAGTTCTACGGGCCCCTTGACCCCTTTGGCTCCTGGGCTTGTGCCCGGGAGACACCATTCAGTAATCCATCCATAGCTATTTTTATTGACAACTAACTTCCCCAATGCTGTAAATCTCATCTTTTCTTTAAACTTGACCAAGACATTTTTGTACCACATCAAAATATTTGTTGTATTTTCAGAACTTTTGGCTGAATAGGATTAATTAAAATGATTAAAGTGCCTCTTCATAGCCCATCCCTCATGGGATTCAAAGGCACCTTTACATCATATGTCAACAACATAATACTTTTCTACCTACAAGGAAACATCTTCCAGTCAACAGGTCATGTAGTAGCTTAAATAGTTCAGGGAAAAGTAAATAAAAGAAATTATCATAATCTTTCAGAAACACACATCGTCATAATCACATCATCATCACCATCGTCGTCACCACTCCTTACTGATATGAAGTTTCCCTCCCAAGCTGCTAAGTGTTAGTTAAATAAGAAGCTAATGTAAATGTTGTTGTGAATCATTCGTGTTCATCATTTTCCTCATATCATTTACATCATTCAACAAAAAATAATGACATTTCCAATACAAGGAACAATAAAAGCAAAATAAAATGAGACTCATTTTCAATTTCCCACAAATTACACAATGGTATTGCTAATGTATTGACCTGTTTCAGTATGAAAAGGCAATATAGCAGCTCTCAACTTAGATTAAAAAGTACATAGTTTTCAGTAAAATATCATTTTCACAGTAAGTACGCAGCTTTCACTTACTCCAAACTTCACCTGCCCAGTCCTGTTTACACCTTCTGAATACTTTCTCTCTCAAAGATACAATATCAGTTTTCTGCAACTGGTAAAACTGGTAAAACACATTATTCATAGAATTGGCTACAGTTTTATCAAGTGGCAGTGTGGAATGTTTAATATGTGTTGAATGGTCACATGATGGGGAGACGTGTACACACAGAGCACTTGGACATGCGTGTGTTCACGTATTACACTGCTCCTCCCCTCCCTCTTCCTTGAGGCATCACTTATTTATGTGGTGAACGTGCGAGCTGGAAAGCATCTCCTACTCCCACTTATCCACCCGCCCAAAGGGGGAAAAGGTCAGGGATGTTCAGTGCTAACAACCCCCTGTTCCACGTCACGGTGTCGGCCAGGTGTCAGCAG